TGCGCGCGGGAGAGACGCAGATGCAGCGCGGGTGCAAGCTATTCCTATGCTAAAAAAATCCCTTTGAAAACTCTGCACTCCTCGTGTACTCGTTTGCTGTGAATGATTTCCGCTGGAAGCAATGAACGCTTCAAAACGAATTTTTCAATTACGAAATATTACGTTTTATTCAGTTATGTATTTTAGCGTTACACTAGTAAATACAACGTTCAGCTTACCCTAGCAAACTTTACTTTCGTTTCGTCACTGAATAATGCATCTTTCAAAGTACCAGTGTAAATCCAATCTTCTACAGCCATTTTATAATATTCATCGAGATTGTCAGGCATTTTAGGTAAACGATAACTGAAAAGTATAAAAGTTAGCTTAATGTACAATACGATATGATATGCAAAGTGCTAGCAACCTTTCAAAATTGTATGATTTGCCAAGAGCTTTCAAGGTGGGATTCAACCCTAGATTCTCGCAATTACCATCAATTGGCAGTGAAGCAAGGGCTTCGTGCGTGCACTCATACTTCTGAAACAAATGTTTTCAACGCCGGATCGATGCCTTTACATCGATTGTAAAGAACTTTACTTATTGAACTGCTTGATCGAATGATCTGTTCTGGATACGAATGGCCCAATTTCTACCAAAAACGCGACGTGGTCTCCCATGGTTCACATCTTAGCGCCAGTAAGTCAGCAAATCAGAATCCGTGCTGATATGTCCGCCCGCATCCGTACATTTCTGCCTTGGAGCTTGAGTAGCATTGAAGGAAGTGGCTTGGCAAATTTTAACCTAGTCCAGTTCTCGCTTATCTGGAGTTATCCAATGCGCTGATCCCGTAAATAAACTTTCCTTCGCTTTGAAATTGAACGGATGGAGCAAGGCTGATGATGCCGAATCGGGTGGGATCCAATGGTTATAGCAATCCAAGGGGTTAAGGCAACGAACACTTTGATTAGGCAGCACCGCTTCCGCGGACACACTGGTAACACGATGCACAACAGTAGGACCAAAGGACTAGCAGCCCGCGGAGGTGGTGCTAATTGAGATGTTCGTTTCTCTACACTTGCAGGGGAACGCGTGTAAGATTGGCTTGCGCGTGTAAGGTTGAGAG